AATGTACCAGTTCCAAAAAAAAAAAAAAAAAACCTATATGGTTTCACTATACAGTACTCTGTGCTTGAATATGATTGCTTAAATACAGACATCAGCCGAATTTAGGTCCAAGTTAGTTGATATTCAAGTATTTGTTTGTAGAATATTCCTCTTTCAGTGTGACCATAATAGAAGATATGTTTCATAGGTGTGATTCTCTACATTCTGCTGGTTGGATATCCACCATTTTGGGATGAAGACCAGCATCGCCTCTATCAGCAGATTAAGGCTGGTGCATATGACGTGAGTCTGAATTTCCAATGATTTGCCTGCACAGTGTTCACTACAAGATTATTAAAGCTATTACAGCTACAAATGCAACATCTGATTATATTGCTAAAAACTCTGATGATAAATTGATGTCATCTTCAGTTCCTTGGCTTCCTACAAATTCATACAAAAATGATTAAATGATGGATTCTTGTGTTGTATCTTATGTCTGTATGTAGTTTCCTTCTCCTGAGTGGGACACAGTGACCCCTGACGCTAAAGATCTGATTAATAAGATGTTGACTATCAATCCTTCTAAGCGCATCACAGCTGCTGAAGCCCTCAAACACCCCTGGATCTGCGTATGTGTTTCAACAACACACACGCAAATACTAACATGCATGCTTCTTTATATACTAAAAAAGAATTTCCTAATCCTCACTAATGACTTGTAATCATTCTGTCTCTTTCTGTAGCAACGCTCCACTGTAGCCTCTATGATGCACAGACAGGAAACCGTGGAGTGCTTGAAGAAATTCAATGCCAGAAGGAAACTCAAGGTTAGATTTGGTCTGACTTTCTTTGAACATCTACATGTCCTTTGATCAATCTTCAGCTTTCTTCACACTGTCAGTTTACTTCAGAGTTTTAAAAACTATGCATTTACCTCCTTAGTGCTTGCAAGAGAGATTCTTTTAAATGTAATGCTTTGTATTATTGCATTACTCCCTATCTTGTTATACTAATTACATTATAATTGCCAATTATTCATGAAAACAATTTAGTTATGTGTAATTTAGTTAGATTTGATCAATCCACCAGCAGGGCAACCCTGGGCCAAGTGGTGTTGTGAGGAAGGGAACATTTTCAATTGTATTTGCCAGAAATGTAACACATTACATATTTAAAAAAGTAACAGCGGTATTGTATGTAAATGAGAAAAATAGTGTGTTAATTTATTGATTTTTTCCAAAAACTCCAAGAATTATGTAATGTAAAGATTACTTGCAATGCTCAAAGCTGACAAGGTATTCTAGCAATCCTCCGCATACATGATGAAAATAAGGGTATACATTGCTTCTGCTTCTGTACTATTCTTTCTTTCATTTCTCTCTTGCTTGTTGTTTTTTTCCTTTTCTTTAATTTCCTAAACTTCTTGCAACTAGGGTGCAATTTTGACCACTCTCCTGGTCACAAGAAACTTCTCAGGTATGTCTGGCTCTGCTGACCTGTATGTGTGAATGTGTGTGTGTGTGTGTGCCTATCCTACAGCTGTATTAAACTCTCTTCTTTTTATCTTCTTATATGTGAACTTGATTCATAATGTTCATAAACCTTAAACCTTGTAATTAGTTATTTTGCAGTTAATTTGGTGTTTATTTTTATTATTATATTTAACAAAGGCTGCGTGAGGTAAGAGTCTGATTGGACATAAGAAGGGGATGTGTTTTTACTCTAACCAGTGAGCTGGTTTGCTTGTTTGACACACTTCCCCTGTTACTCTGAGATACTAATTACCCTTGTTTGCATGGAATCAAACAGATTACATTCATAATGTCAACTGACACTTAGTTGAAATTATATGAACTTACATTTTAACTTACATTCAGTGTTTTAAACAAACAAAACTTGAAGTTTCAACTGCAAATACGCATATTCAATAATATAATAAAAACAAGTTCTTTATGAATGTAATCACAATAATAATTCCATGTTACTTGGAGAGTTTTCTGTCTTGCTCATAGAAGAAATATTTTGAATGCTTGCTCATTTTCTGGTTATATTTCCATCTGCATATGTTCATGTACATCCTGGAATGTTACATTTATATATAAGGTATAATTCAGAGGTTTTGCATTTACATATGATGGCTGTTACCAAAATATAGTTCTAAACATGTTATAACAGAATGATAGAAAATCTTTGATTTAGCGTAATAGCTGTATGGTCATCTGCACTTATTTTGTGATAAACTGTATTTTAAAGCAACTCTATCTTTGAGGGCAAGTGTGTGCGCTTCATTTTTACTTTTGGTTCAAGACGTTTGAAGACTGTAAAATATGTTGCATGCTGTTTTGTGAATTAATATAATATAATATACTATAATATCATTGATCGATTTACAATATTTACAATATCTATGCACATAGCACATTTTCAACAGTTCAATTATCAAGACATTTATAAAATAGAAGTAATTATGTATATTTTAATGGGGTAAAAAAAGTATTTTTTTTCTTGATATGTTTACCAACAAGGAGATTGTACAGCACAACAAATTGTACAGTATATAATTTAACAATAACACACATCCCCTAAAAACAGAGTTGCTTATTTTGGTTTTAATTGTGTCTGGGTTTAATCTTTTTGATCCCTTAGCCTTGCATTTGTTTACTAAGAGTTCCTATCCTAAAAATGAATGATTTGTATGACTGTGAATTGTTTCTCCTGCCCGAGGTCTTGTGACACAATAAGGAGAACAATAATCTCAGAATGCCTGCTGCATGTGCCTTGATGGATTTGTAATGTTATAATACATAAATATTCACCATTCCCTTTTATTTTTCACCCAACAGCAGCCAAGAGCTTGTTGAACAAGAAGACAGATGGTGTGAAGGTGGGTTAAATCTGTTCATTTTTTGGCAAAACTAAAATGTATAAACAACATGAGTACTTGGCAATGCCTAAGAATAATCTTGGAGCATTGTGCATTTTTTATGTTTGTGTTTTTTGTTGGTTGTTTTTTTCCAGAAATTCTGAGGTCTTTAATTGGATCAGTTTCCAATTCAATTACAATATAGTTAATATATTAGACTGCTGTGTGGCATTTTGATAAATTCCATTTCAATTCCAATTTTCAGATTTTATTTAGGAAATAGATAACATTTTGGTAATAAAATAAATATTTGATCTTTTAGTAATTTAATGAAAGGTTTAGTGTAGTTAATTCCCTGAATTTGCTGGAAATTAAATGGAATTACCCATCATTCTCATTTTAATGTTGTCTTGTTTACTGAATATGAATGTGTTTCAGTATTCCAGTGTTTTTTCTTTTACTTATGGGGAAATTCACTAAAAGTAATCTTTAGCAATTCACAAAAGAAAGGAAAGAAATGCAATCTATAATAAGCCTATAATCTACATAGAAAAGTAGATTAACTTTTTCTTAAAATGAATGACTATTACTTAATTCAAATACACATAGTGAAGCACTATGCCAGATACCACAAAAGATGCAGGTTTTGTTGAAATATTGTTTAGTGAATTTGCCCCATCTTCTTTCCACTCAATGTTTTTCAGTTCCCGAGTTTCTAGTCTCATTTTATTTTCTCATCTAGAATTTTTTTTCTGATCATTTAATCTAAAACAGTTCACAAGAGTTTTCTGACATGAGTAACAAAATCTGATGTTGGTTTGTCTCACAATCCTGTCACTCAAGTCTATGTGTTTATCAGATTTTACATAAGAAAAATTTAAAATAATTGGGCAGCTTTCACAAAACATTTTAAAGTCAAGAATGGATATAAATGAATACAATTATAATTATTAATAAGAAGTAATACTGTAAATTGCCAATCACAAGCCATTTTACATTCATAATGTGAAATTTTAAACAGGATATTCCACATGAAAATATATAATGGTCAGAAATTGATTGGATCATGAAAAGCGAATGTTTCAGACAAGAATAAAGCCTGACTGAGTTTACTAAATGCCTAAACTGCTATTTGGCGAACATTATCCAGTAGCCCACTCCAATCCAATAGCCTAAGTGATATCAACAGAAAAGAATTCAAGTTATGGCACTTTGATTAAAGATTATGAAGACAAATAATTATTTTTGTTGTTGTTGTTTTGGAAAATGTGTACTAATGAATAATTTACCATAAGACTGGGAACATGCATTAAGAAAGTTTTGACTGCAATATGTCAAGTGTAAAAAGTTAATTTTATAAAGAAAGAAAGTAATTTAAGAAAATTGTCACCATTGTGTGTGTGAGTTGCTGTATCTTCAGATCATCAGCTCCCTCATGTGTATCTGTGTTTGTCAGTATATCTGTGTATTTTTTCTATTTGTGGATGCCCTGTCACAAAATTCCTTTTTTCCCCCAGTCTTGCGTAATTTTGTAACCTTAGTGTGATGCATCACACCCCATCAGTGTGATATTTGGTAATGTGTGATGTGTGATCTGCTCCTCGTCCCACTTGCAGGTTAACAACAAAACCAACCTAGCCAGCAGCCCCAAAGACACAGGCCCCGCCCCAGCACTGGTACCCATGACAACAGCCCCGCACCTGCACGACCTCACCCCTGTAGACCCTCGCCCTTTGACCAACAAGCCAGATTTGCTTACTTTTCACCATAACACAAAAGTTCTGTTCCAAAACCTAGTGAACCTAGTTTCTAAGGCAACATCCTAACTGTCAAACAATCTCATACATGATCAAACATCAAAACAAAATGGCAGTTATTGCATAAAGCAAACACAATTCACATTTGATTCCAACAGATTTTTATGTTAGCATGTTGCTAAGCTAACAATACAATAACAAGAAGAAAACATGTAGGGCTACCCAGATGTTGGGTGTCATGAATTGCCCCGAGACATGAAGGTAGAGGATCCAAATGCAGTAGTTTATTGAAGGGGTAATCCACAAACATAATCCAAAGGCAGGCAAAGGTCATACATAAATAGGCAATCCAAAACAACAACAGAGTAAGGGGCTGAGGCAAACAGAGTAATCCAAAAACAGGCAGAATAACAAGACCAGGAACCAAGATATGGGAGAACCAGGATACAAGTCTTAAAAAAAGCAGTAAAGACTCCGGGCTTATATAGGGTGAGCTAACCATGCTAATGAGACACAGGTGCAAACAATGATTGCTGATGAGACCAGGCAGAGGATTATGGGGAATTAAGTCCTTGATAGAGTAGCAGAAGTGCCTGGGATGGAGTGCCCTCTAGTGGACAACCAGGGCATTCCAGCTGGTGATCGTGACATAACCCCTCCTCAAAAGGAATGGCTTCCAGACACTCCAAAACAACAGAAGTTCAAGTCCAGGAGGGAGGCGGAGCGGACCAGTGGGAGGGATGGTGGGCCAGGCCCATGTGGTGGAAGAGGGCCTGGAGACAGAGGTAGACCAGGGAGCCAGGGCGGAGCAGATGACCACCAAGGCGGATCAGGCGGGAATGCAATAGAGAGCACAGAGAGGTTAACAATAACAGGACAGGCAGACAGTTCAGAGATGGCATCATTGGCTATGACAGGGCAAGCAGAGAGTTCAGGAACGGCCTTTTTGGCCATGTCAGGACAGGCGGAGAGCTCAGACACGACCTCCTTGGTCGTGACAGGGCAGACAAGGGATTCAGGGATGGCCTCTTTGGCGGTGACAGGATAGGAGTTGAGCTCAGAGACTGCCTCCTTGGCCATGACAGGGCAGACTATGAGCTCAAAGGCAGCCTCCTTGGCTATGACTGGACAGGCAGAGAGTTCAGGGACGTCCTTCTTGGCCGTGACAGGAGAGGCAGGGAGCTCAAAAGGCAACCTCTGTCATTGAGACAGGACAGACAGGGAAATCACAGGCTGGCACCGACACAGGACTGAGCTCTGGGGCTTGAGTGGACTCTGGCACAGATTCACGGACCAGAGCAGGCTCTGGAGCGGATTCATGGACTGGAGTGGGCTCAGGAGCTAACTCATGAACTGGAGCAGGCTCTAGACCAGTGGTCGCCAACCCATCGATCGCGATCGACTGGTAGATCTTTATCACTGTCCCAGTAGATCCCGAAAAAAACCCCAGTAAAATAAGTACAAAAATGCATTACATTTATGGGGTTATATTAATGTATCACTGAAGGGAACTGTCTTGAGAAAAGTTTCGATGGCAATGGCATTTTCTTCTCCGTATAAAGCGCAACTCTGCTTGGTTTACAGCGGTAAACAAGGAAACGCTATAGTGCGGTCGGTTCATAAGCAGTGTTGCCAAGTCCGCGGTTTTCCCGCGGAATTGGGCTACTTTAACACCGTTGCCGTGGGTTGTTGTTCATGTCCGCGGGTTGAAGCGACCCCAATAACGTGTTATTTAGTCCCTGGAATGAAAATTTTACTGGAAGATCCCCGCCGAAAAACGTGTATTTTACCCCCAGAATGCGATTTTTACAGGGGACCCCTCCTCGAAATGCAATTGGACTAGTTTTATTGCAAAAACCTGGCAACCCTGTTCATAGGCGCCACCTGCTGTCAGAGAGTGCGTCTCATTCAGACCTGCTGTTTTTGTTTCGTGCAGATGTTTTATGTAGCAATTAAGTAAATAACACCTAAAGTCAGACCATTCTGTTTTTGTTTTAAATCCTGAAATTAATCTAAATCAAATCAAAAACAACTGCCCGTGCAGATCATGATTAAAATGCAGTGGTTG